TGGGATGGCGGTGGCCGCGATCCCTCCTGGACCCTGGCTTGGAGAGGATGTGTATTTTCCCCTTCTCCTCCCAGGCGGCCTGGAAGCTCCAGCAGCATCAGCCAGGCCTGCTCCTGGCAGGACACTCGCTGGAAGCTGGTATCCAGCAGCCATCTGAGATGGGGCCCAGACATGGCACCAGCATCGGGCACCATGGCCATGCTTCTCCTTTCATTTTCCTTCCCAATCTCCTCAGCAGCAGCATCGTGGCCCATGTGTATTTCACAGGACCCTTTGGTTGACATTTTTACACTGGTTGCTTTTTGGCACAGGTCTCTGATCAATGTTCCCACCACCAGCTGTCTATGCTGGGGCCCGATGGATGATGCTGGTGCTCTATAATGGTAGCAATGGGCTCTCTCGACTATCCAGCTGCCCATTTGCACAAGGTTGCCAGGATTTGTCCTCTCTGAGCTCCCTGCTTCTCTGCCCACTGGGTCAGTAGCTGCCAGGGGTCTGACAGCACTTTCACATCAGCCTCAGGTCCCACAGCCTTGAGAAATCAGGCTGAGGAAACACCTACATAGTCTGTCCCACTTCGCCCTGGGCTGGGAGGAATCAAACCCAATATCCCTGAAACAAGAAGTAAATCCACCTTCCTTCAGCCTGCCTTACTGCTGGGGGGTGAGCCTGCATCTGTGCTTCCCCCTCAGCTTTCCCATCTGATCGGAGGGCGTACTGCACCCCTCATCGTCTCTGAGCGCTGGCGGAAGTGCCGCCGCATCGCTGGAGTGGCAGATAGCCGGGATCCCCATACGTGATGCTCAGAAGGGGAGAAGAGAGCTGACTTCGCTCTGGATATTCCCTCCTGCCTAGCGATATCGAATGGAATGAATAATTTACTATCCGATCATCTCTAATCTTTGTCCCATAAAATCAGCAGCAAGCTGGGAGGGTTTTTGAAGCCTCCAGCTGCATTCGCTGATAAGACATGAGGCAGGAAAGATTGGGAGCCCATGAAAATGATAATCTCAGGCTTTGGTGTAACTTGGTGGAAGGGTTTTCTCCTGTCCTTTCATTAAGGATGGATTTCATGATCTTCCTTAAATAACAACAAGCCTTCTCATGAGGAATCTCCCACCCGAAAACCGATTGCATTGTCATTAGAAAAGAAGAAACCAAGCATCCAGAAAAAAATATCTGAAGTACAGGTTAGTGTAAGGGCCAAGTCCCTGAAGAGAAAATGGCACCTGCCTTTACGGGGTGGGAGGAAAGGAGGCAATCGGAGGCAATTTCCAAATGCAGAGCGAAGCTTTAGGCATCAGGGCTCTGCCTGGGAGAGCTGGGCACTGGCATTGTGCCGAGCTGCTGGCCACAAGCCTGACCACGAGGCCAGCTGTGGACCAAAGCCCCACCGTCCTCA